CATGAACCCCATAATTGTCTGGGACAATATGAGTAAAGCAGTTCCATTTGACAGAAAACACAGGGAAATGGTTATGAAAAGGGTAGACAACAGATGAGCAGATCTGTGCTAACCAGATTACTGGGGAGGTTCAGCCTGTGCAAGTGAAAAGCAGTGTTATTTTGCTTTTAACCAATCTTTCACAGTTCTTAAGCACAGACTCTTACAGGTATGCGTCTATGCACACAGTCTAGATTAATTTTGTCATGGTTTGTTTGCATGTATGTGTACACACAGAGCCCAGTTTGCTCAGTTCACCCTTCCAGCTAGTCAGATCATGGGGGTTTTACTACATTACTGTGACACTGGGTCCAAGGTAAAATACTAAAAAACAGGACAAATTAGGTTCAGCACTGGATTTAGTTACATATGGTCCTCAGCTGTCTTGTACATGGTCTGCTTGGAATACAAATAAAGCAGCTTGATTTGCATCCTTGTTCATTTCTGTGGAAATTCTACCTGGATCAGGATCAGCAGCAAAGTGACCTCAAGAGTCTCCTCCCTTCTCTGTAAGTCTGTAAGCAGTGGCCAGCCCGGCTGCCCCCAGGGCACGTCCTTCATTAGCAGTCTCATTGCCAGTTTGGCGAGCCGAGTTGCTGCCGCCTGTTGACACAAGGAGGGTGAATCTCTGTGGTGGTTGTGTACGTGCCCACAGAAAAACACAAAGTAAACGTACTGAACTCCTGACAGCCAACTTATTTCCTAGCCTAGTTCATTAAGACTTCCTTGGCATAACAACATGTGCAACTATTACCAAACCGCAAAAAGTCAGTACTCTGATACAATACAACTCGCACTTCATAACTAAACTACCCAGATGCTCCAAAGCCATCCCATACGCTAGGATACATTTTATGAGCTGAAATCATCTCCAAAACTCTGGACTGAGGACCCCCATCACTCCTTGGGGATCCTGAAAGTGTGCTTGGGACTCAGCTGCTTAAATTCCTTTTTCTCTAGAAAATTGGTAGCAAGCTGCCAAATTACCTGCTTCCCACCGGTTTTAGGTATTCAACAGATGAAAGCAATGTTTCTGTTGAAATAGACAGTAGATTTTAAGCGAGCTTATTAGGTACCTTTATTATTTTTTTACAGTTGACAGCACAGACCGTTTTGCTCGGTATCATTGTTGCATGACATTCCATTTGGCACAGGGTTTATTTTTAGCCAGAGACTATCAAAAGCATATTTCAGTAGGACTGTCACTGCTCTTGAACAAGGAATCATATTACTGCAAGAACTTTGCTGAAACAAAGAAGATATATTGGACAAATGGGAAATTATAAATCTAGACCAACCCAAACTTGCACTGGTAATTAATGTTGCTTTTTTAAATGCAATATACCATACATCCATCTACAAGAAGAAAATGGTATTTCAGGAAATAACTTATTGCTAATTTACTCTTGAGTTCAAGGATAAGGTATTGTATTGTTCTTGGTTTACAAGAAGAATGGCTTAACCCAAATCACATATATAGTCTGTGAAAGAAGACAAAAAGCCAGTAAACTGAATTTCTTTGTATAAGATCATGTTAACTTAGATTATTAAGTTGATTTAACTCGTACTTCATTAGAAAAACCTTTAAACTTCCAACCTTTTTATGTTGTGTGTCTATGCTAAGATTTAGGAAATAAGAGCTAACATGCAACCTATGGTTTAAGTTTTCTCTTGTTCAAGTTAAAAATATTTCTGTTAAGGTTTCATAGGTATTAGTTGTCTATGAAATCAGTATATATGTGTCTATATTGGTTGTAGCAACAACGGTTTAATAGCTGTAGTATTTTAAACTTTCATACTTTAATAGAAAAATAGATGAAACAGTGTACAATTGGATGTTTAAAAATCAAGTGGTTTGCTTACTGGGACATTATGATTTGAGTTCTTGGGTTTTATGTTTTGAAGAGGTTTATGAATCAGAGTTTTTTTGTTGTTAGATGAATGGAAGAAGAAAGTCAGTGAATCGTATGCTATAATCATAGAACGATTAGAAGATGACCTGCAAATCAAAGAAAAGGAGCTGGCGGAACTGAAGCATGTTTTTAGGTAAAATGTTCTGGAAACCTGTTTAAGAATTTCTTTCAAATGAGTACTTGCTATTAAACAGTATTTTCAGTTTCACATGTTTTCTTATGGAAGGAGTTTCTCACATATGGAATGCATGCTCTTTAATGTCTATTTTGGGGAATATGCCATTAAAGTTCTGGGCCAGAGTCCCACAGCATAGTAGCAAAATTAGTGGCTGTAAATTACTAAAGCCAATATTTTATAACAAATACCTATATACTTTTGTAAATGAATTAGCTTTAATGGGATGTCTAATTTTGTTGTGTACTTTTCAGTTTTGATAGTGTTTCTTCAGACAGGAATATTGCTGAAGTAGCAAATTTTAAACAAACACAAAAGCAGATTCTCTTCTGAAAGTGGATTTCAAATTCATGATTGTAATCACTTTCTCAGGACAGCACATGCTAATAACCAAGTTCACCCAACCAAGTAGCATACTTACATGCTCATTATCCAAAAAGCTCAAATAGAAAAAATGCCCAGTTCATTGAGTGTGAATAAGTTAAGAAAATGATCAATAAATAATTTCAGACATCAAAACCACTTGAAAAAATAGGGGATTCTAATCAGAAATAAATCACAACCTCAAAAAAGCCAAACTGGTCAGACAAATTATTTAGCATGCTCACTTTCAGCTAGCATAATTATCACTGTTTGAGCCTGTTAAGTGAACGACGACATTGCGCTTTCACTGCAATATGCTGACCGCTTTGGCCATGATTCAGTATGGTGCTTTGGAACTTGCCTCATTTTAAGCCTGTTTAGTAGTAAAACTAATTATCTTAACAAATTAAGCCAGAATATTCTTTATTTTAGTTAAGCAATTCAACTGAGTATATGGTGAAAGTGCTTAATTCCCGCATTAGGCATAAGAAAAAAGAAACAATTAACTTTAAGGTTAGCAGACCTCTGGCAGTTCAGTTTATCAGTCTATCCTACTGCCCCATGTAAGTCTCATTAGGATGTCAGCCAAACTCTTCTTCTTAGATAAAGAGCAGTTCTCTTTTCTATGGAAGGAGTGGGAATTAATGATACTGGTTACACTGCATTGAAAAGGCTTTTTCTTTCATTCAGGCTTGAGGAATCAGCCAGTGATTTCAGTTCCAAAAGCTGCCTTCCCCCATGAGTAATGAAATCAGTCAGATTTTATGAGTATCTAAAATCCAAATCTGACCTGTGTAAAAAATCAGTCTGGACTATATGAAAAACTTTTCTACCATAGCAGTGGCTATTTTCAGAAGACTTCTCATCTCTGAAGTAGCAGAGGAATTAATAGGTTTTTTCCCATTATTAAAACAAAACCATTTATTAAAAAATGTTAGGACTGAGAAACTGAATGGTTGTTGGAAGCTAAGGCAAAGAAGGTAATTTCCCTGATGGAAGTGAAATAAGTAGCTGTTAAAGTCGCTGCTCTAAAAGGTTTGGAACATAAATAGAACAAAAGCGACAAGCCTAGCAGAGGAAAGAACGGTCAGCATCCCCATTTTACACTTAGGGAACCCATGCACAGGGCAAAGAGTAAAATGTCCAGTACCATAGGAAAAAACCAACAGTTGCAATAGTGACAAGTAAATTTATAAGTAGCACAACACCTGTCACTTCTTGGATAAAAGTTGTCCCTATTCTATTCCTATATCTCAGAGCTGTTAGTGCAATGGTTTCCTAAACAGACCACCCTAAAAATAAAAAGTCAGAACTTCACTTCCCTGAAACATGCACTTATGTCTTCAGAAAGGAATTAGGAGGACACCTAGATAAAACTAGGCCCTGAGTGTAGTCATTTGAGCTATTTTTCTTTTTCAATACAGGCCTTTTAATCACAGATTTTAAGATATAAAACTTTCCTTGTTATATTTTCCCACAAAAACATTAAAATGTTGCCAGTTTATAAGAACTCAAATCATACTAATAATGAATATCATTAAGAAAACAAACTAAAACTTTTGATTGTTATTTTTCAAATTAGGGGAAGAGGAAGATTTAAGTATATAGCTAAAATGGTAAAACCTGGATTCTTAACCACACATTAAGTGCTATGAATTTTTAATGTAATTCTAAAGATGAAAATCGAAGCAAGAGATGTGACTTCATAGCACGACAACATCCCATGATTTTTAGACTTGCAGAATTCATTTTTCAGACAAAGCAATCCATTCCACCATGCAGCCACCGCAGTGCATCAATATGTACAGTGTGTAAATCCATGCATACACAACAGGTTACAGCAAAGACAAGTTAACTAAAAGGACTTGTTTCCAGGAACCTGGAATTTATTTTTCCGTCAATTGACCCTGAAGGAAAAACTGAAGAATAGATGAGCCTTATATCACTATCATTAATCACAGTATGTCAGAGAAGAATTGCACAAAGACAAAGCATATTTGAAGAATGAGATTTTATTTTTACTGGACAAAACATATTCCACATTAGTAAAATGGAAGTGGTAGATGTAGGGTTGTCACCAAACAAAGGTAAATGTGACTATAATGTGTGAAAAAAAATGTTCCATACAGAAGCAGTTTACATTTAGGACGTAAAAAATCCTTAACACGTGATACCCATCTTCTAAGGCATACATAGGAAAATCTAGACTGATGTAAGAATTGATCTCACTGAGACACACAGTTTTGGCAAAATAAGTCCAATTTTTGCATTTATAAATAAATGCTATGGTCTATTTTTATCAGGTCCATATCCATTTCAACTCATGCACTGTTCCTGAACATTATAAAACACTCAGTATTGACAGCGGGCAATCAGGAGTTTCCATCAGAGTCATCTTTCTGACAGAAAAGTATTTTCCAAAAAGCTAGTCTTTATGAGAAAAAAATTGTCAAAATGTCTCACAAGGAAAATATTTAAATTTTGCATTTTAATATTTAATTATGATTAATTTAATTTGGGTTAGAATCACTAAATTATTTACTTACCGGCACAATACTTTGTACATCTGTAATTCACACCACCATTTTCTTCTGTGGATGAACATTCCTGGAGATGCTGTATGGGTGATCCTCATTCTGCCCAGTCCCTAAGTGGTTGCAATCGTCATGGTGCTGGATGCCTCAGCACGAACATGACTCCATCCTGAAGCCTACCCTCTAAAGAACACACTCAGAGCCCAAACTACATTTTCTGTGTGTTATAATGTGTCACTTTGCAATTTGATAGCTCTCCAACCACTCCACTAGACTGGAAAAGTAACTTTCAAGTTCTGGAAGCTAAAATGTTTTCTTTCAAAATAAAACCCTGAAAAAATTCAATGGTTTAACATTTCCAAAATAACTTGGTCTCACTTCATGAAAAAGAAGATGGAAACACAGGTTTTGTTCCTGGTTTAGAATGATAACGCACATTGAACAAGCAGAATTTCTTTTAGGATAGACTTAACTGAGAGAACAGAAGTAAAGACAAGTCTCTGGCTTTGTCTACATTTTAAATTATATTTAAAGAATAAACTATTGAAATGTTTATTGAAAGAAAAGGCCTAAGTGTCCCCTTGCTTAACAGGGGTCATCTTGCTAAGGGGAACTTTGCATAGATTTATATTTTTAAAAGAGAGAGAAGTATTAAAACCTTATTTTTAATTGTAACCATATTAAATATGTTTAACAGTGCTACTTACAAATCTAAGTGTTCTGCTAAACCATGATCATTGTTATACTGGTACTGAATGGAAAAAACCCTGAACTTCTATTCACAGACTGAAACCAGCATTGTCCACAAAAATACTAATTGCTGTATGTATTTAAATTTCAACAAATGTAATTACTTAGAATGTTTGATGGAGCAGTAACAAGTCAATCTGTGCTAAAGGAAACCCATGAGACTTGATGACAACAACTAAAATGTTCAAGTATGGTAATCATTTAATTATCTGTAAAAAATAAAAATAGAGTGATCATTTTCCCTCACACTTTTCAGAAGCTCTCTTCACTGTTTAAAAAATACATGTGACACTTCAGACATTCATGAGTTTTTCAAGTAAAGCTATAATGCCTATTTAGATAGGACTTATAACCAGAGGTGGGTATAGCTCTAGCTATGGAGATGTTACTTCTCCCTCATAGCATAACGGGCATTAACTGTGTGAAATAAAGATGTCCAGTCGCATTGTCCACAATCTTATACAAAGATACTGTTCATGTTTCTTTGTAAAGCTAGAAGCATTTTGATGTTACCGTCCATTCCCTTTACTGCCAACTTTTCTAGATTTATTTTATGAAGTACTTTATTTTTGAGCTTTGACAGGTGCATGACAGGAAAGGAAGAATGGAAATTAATGAATTATAAAATCGCATAGGTTGCAACATTTTTATGCATGGCCTTTTTGCTAAAAAAGAACAGAGCATCAAATACAAATACTGAATGTCTTTTTTAATGAGTCAGACTTGGTATGGATCCTATTTAAGAGTTACTATGTTAGAAATGTATTAATAGTAATCACTTAATTTTAATTATTCATTTTATTCTTGTGTGCCCTAGGAAGCACCATGAAATCATTAAGCTATATAAAAATACACTCTACCAGAAATGTGGAAGAAAATTAAACAAATTGAGCTTAATTTTGTCAGTGTCACAAGATGTGAGTGACATTTAGTTGTCTGAGCATTTTAGGTACAAACATGCCTTTCCTTAGTAGGATGTGAGTACAAATTGTAATATTTTAACTGTTTATATCAAAACCAGAAATACAAGTTAAAGGAAAGTCAAAATTATGATCTATAAATTATTTTTAAATTTTTTTAATATATCACATTCCAGTGCAATAAACCAAAGCAGAAAAACTGTGCTATAAAATTATACCAGTCTGCTGAACATTATGAGGTCTGTGTTCCTTCTGATGCCTTAAAGTAGCTGTCAGTAATGGGCGTTTTGAGCAAAGGTGAGAGTCCCATCCTGGCATGGATGCTCCCCTGCCTCGCTCCAGCCCCTCCTGTTCTGTCCTCCCAGATCTCAGACACTCACAGATCTTCTTAGGGCTTAGCGTGCCGTTAGAACTGCAAATGGTAAAACACTGGAACAGGTTGCCCAGAGAGGTGGTGGAGGCCCCATCCCTGGGAACATTCAAGGCCAGGTTGGATGGGGCTCTGAGCAACCTGATCTAGTTAGCAGTGTCCCTGCTCACTGCAGGGGGGTTGGACTAGATGACCACTAGTGGTCCCTTCCAACCCTAAACATTCTATGATTCTATGATTCTATGATTCTAAATCCTCAGCCCCAAATGTAACTTTTAGAAAGACCGATTCATTCCTCAAAATGCTTAGGAAACATTTTTCATTTAATCGTTGCCAATTTTTTGTCTGAGCTTTGGTTATCTTCCTTCCATGTGTCTGCTTCTGTAGTGTTTTCACATAAATGTTTCCATTGCATAGTGTTTCTATGGTCTTATTTAGGGAACATAAACTTACTTTCTGAAAGGCTTTTTCTCTTTATTCTTTTGACTTGGCTTGTTTACCTCTAGTTCCGTGCACGTCCTGCTCACCATTTTACAACAAATACATAGATTTAAAAAATATTTCTCAGTTATTATTGCATCAATAAAGAAACTGGGTTTGTATAAATTATTTCAATTTCTAGACAGTTTTTCCTCTTTTTTTTTTTTCTACTTTAGATGGATTTACAATGTCTATACTGTGACTGAATAGCAGGATTGTTCAGAAAACAATAAATCTGGATTACTCACTTGATATCAGTAAAGTATTTCTAGATTTACAGAGTGTAAACTGGTATAAATTTAGCCCTGTGTCTCAAAAAAAATTATATTGAGATTTTTCTTTTAAAATTTTTCCAAATGAAAGAAACTGCTAAAGTATGAAAACAGTAATCATCTGTAAAATATCTTTTTTCAGCTCTGATGAAGCCTTCTGCAAAGTCAATTTAAATTACCGCACAGAAAATGGGCTCTCTCTTCTTCATTTATGTTGCATATGTGGGGGTATGTATTTGAAATATGATGTTCTCTAAACATTTTAGTTACATGGTTACTGATTTGTTCTGTCTAATAACTGTCAGGAAGGTTATATTTTCGGTGAATTTCTTTCTGTGTTTTCCTTATTGACAGTTGGATAAGCATCTGTAAGCATTACTCTAAACTCTATTGCCAAGAGGGTTGAATCAAGTTGCGCTGGACCCCATGACAGCTGAGCCTTCAGTCCAAAAAAACTTTTGGTTGATAATGTAGCATGCTTTACTACAGGTGTTCAACTAATTCAAAATGGCTTGCTATGTGCATTAGTTAATCAATCCACACTTTTTTTTAGTATTTCCCTAC